ATTTGTTATGTGGTATATTTAAAGTTTTAATGGGTTACGGGCCTAGGAAAAGCACTGTCTCTACAGTGAAAAAATACGGTATTACGCTATTCGCTGGCAAAAGGTTTAGTAGCTGTCTATATTAAATGAGGTTTTAGAAGAAGACGATTGTTAAGGGTTATAGAAGTGTTACTTGTAAGGAAAACATTCGTGTAATCAACAAGAAGTAAGAAATCAAGACCAAAATTCATAATAATACAAAGTACCGCGGATCTAGATACAGTACAATGTTCTACGGCATACGATAGTGATTTAACCCGCTCAAAAAGAAATTTTTATCGCTGAACGCAATGTTTCAGCGATGACGAAAACACTAACAAATTCACACAGAGAGAGAGAGAGATTGAGAGAGCTTAAGGAATCAGATGCGAAACCATCTGAAAACGATATTATATGCTATTTACTTTTATCGATGCCGAATTGTTATAATGTCAATGTCGTTATGGCAATCGAAAACCTATCAAACGAAGATCTAAGATCTGACAATTGGATTTGTAAAAGAATAAGATAAAAAAAACCATAAACCTACCGTTGAAAAATAACCAAAATAAAGTTATACACCAGATATCTAGATATGTAGTGTATAGCTTTATTTTGATTATTATTATACAATGTGTTGATTTGCATTCTCGCCATATTTACAGAGGTCATTCTATATCCGAAATTGAACCCAACCGAACCGAAGAACTTGAACCCAAATCACTTAAAAAATAGATAAAAAAATAAGTTTCCCTAAATTTTTCATTTAATTGTGGTAACCAAGTTTGATCCAAAGGTCATTGACTTGCACTACACGTGTCACAGGTACCGGCAAACATTTGAATCTACCTACCTACCTAACCTATGTGCAGTATGCGAAGAAAATATGCATTTTCGATCTATTTGGTGGCAGTGATTGGTAGATCATCAGTCCATCTTGCGTATTGCGTCTGCGTTCATATCGCATACGTTCTAGTTTGTCACGAAATGCAACGTGGTTTGCGTGTGATGTAATCAAGAGTTAGTACCAAAAAAAACCGCTACAATGTGCATTACCATAAAGTGCGTTCTTATGGCATGATGTGAAATTTTTAGTTTACGCAGATACGAGTGTCGAAGAATTGCATGCAAAAATCGTCTCTAGTTTCTTTCTGCTTTTTCTGTAGTGAAGAATGTGCGCTTAGTTGAAAGGAAATTCTGCATATCTGTGGCTGGCTCCAGTAAGGAGCCTGCCACCAGCTGTGGAGCTAGGTACTTCTAGCACTACTTTCATGTAACCTAAAGTTTGTAAGTACCAAATCTAAGTTACAAAAAATCGTTTTTCAGTCATATTTTGTAACTCATGTAAATAATTAGTAAATTATAACAATACTAGTTACGTAAACATGATTTAAAAAAAATAGGTAAATTAGCGATCGAGAAAGATTACGTATCCCTCGGTGAAACGAGTGGCGGGGTCACTGTCCTCTGCGGTGAGTACACTTGCGGGACAATTTTACAAAACTTTACTAGATACAATTAGCCGGAATATGGAACAGAAGATTTTTTAAATATTTTTAGATGATTTAGCATTATTCCTATTATTAATTTCTTAAATATGGCGAGAATGCTAATCAACACCCTGTATATCATTGGCCATGTGTATAACACAGATAATATGTTAGGGCGCGTTCCCACTATGGCGTGACGACAGATTGTCGTGCAGTTTACAGTGTCGTGGCTGGTACATTTAAATGAAGTTGTTCACATATAGCACGACACGATTATCTGTCGTTCTTGTCGAATTTTTATCGTCACAACGAGAAACTGTCGTCACAGTGGGAACAGCTAGAACGACAGTCAACAGACGATAAAAAAGTCACGATAAAAACGTGACGACAGATTGTCGCAGCTCCTATTGTCGTCACGTTTTATTTATCGCTGTCCGCACGTGTTTTGCTCCCTGCCCTCCCCTCTCGTACCCCGCGCCCTCTTCTCGTTTTGCAGTAGCGTTGGGTCGTAGCCAGAGATGGGCAAGGAGGCAGTCGTGAAACGATAAATTGTCGTCACGATCTAGTGAGAACAGCTAGTCACGACAGTCGTTCAACGATAAAAAATCGTCCACGACAGATAGTCGGGATATGGAACCAGGATAGACACGACAGTTGTCCAACGATAATAAAACGTGACGACATAGTGGGAACGCGCCCTCATACACATGGCCAATGATATTATACTTATAAACACATATGGTCAAAAATAGAAAAGGCAAACATGGCAAGTACATTGATATAAAATATTATTTTCATTAGAGATACTATTCAAAGGGGAAATGTAAATACCTACTAATGTGTAGTACCTACTCGAATCGAATCGGCAGACATATTCACAAAGGGATTAGGGAAAGAGTTATTTACGCGTTATTGTTATCTATATTATATATATTTTATTTGTTAGTTTCTACCAGTCGCGACACGCATGACGGTAAATTAGTGCTTATTCATTTATATTGTTGTAATATTTTTCTTATTTTATTTTTTAATTATTTCTGTCCTGTTTTTTTGTTTATACATATGCGTGTGTGTGTTTATACATTAAACAGTATTCTTTCGTTCTTACTTTCTATATCAAGGAGCAATTATTGTTTGTTTAATAGAACATCAATTTCGTTGTGTAACTTCTAGACGATTAGGAAAAGGCAGCTCTCTGGTAGGATTGAAATCATTTGAAATGTAACCTCAGCGATTGTTTCTAATGTAGAACCTACATGTTATCTTAATCAACTTAACCGTCTACCCAGCATGTCTGACCGAGTCAACCGTGATCATGGGACCTGTAAAGGGCCCGAAACGTCGGCTTGGTTGAAAAAACAAATGTACGCGATTTAAATCTGGTTAAATAGTTTCATTACCTATGTTAAAAAAAAAATCTATCGCGAAAATCTAAGAACTCGATAACTTAAGAAGTTGATACGTCACGATTTCACAAGTTGTAAATTTCTAAAATAAATCTAAAATTTATATATATTATATTTATATATTAAATATTTCTAAATCTTTCATAGACTTCTCATAGATTGCGCTACGACTAAAAAGTCGTTGAAAAAACCAAATATAAAGACACGACACAAGCACATACAAAAAGCTAGTCTAGCACGGTAAGCTAGAAGACGTCGGTAAGCCCTGAAATATATCGCTCTTAGTGTTGCCTAATACAAGAACAAGTAACTTCGTCTTGGTCTTAGTGTTGGTATTGCCACGTTCATCCTCGGTCTTGATCTCGGTCTTGCTGCAAGAGCTCGCCAATCTTGTAATTACCTTTTATCACTTATCAAACTCATATTATTCTTACAAAAAGTGACAAGGACAACAACCAACTATGGTTGAGATTTTGAGTGCAAATTGACATGGTATAGTGGGTGCCAACCTAACGGCGAAAAAAAAAATGTACTGGGTACATGGTATCCGCTCGAGAGAGCGCCCGCGTAGTTAATTAGTTTATCGATTTTCGGCGTGTGTTGTTGTTGATAATTTGATCGATCGACACAAAAACTTTTCGCCTTGTAACAACAAATCAACTATGTTATTACAAGAAACCGTGATTTTGATACCGATATTACGGAACGTCTATCAATATCGATCAGGGACGCCACAGATGTCGCTTATGACGACATCGGCAGATGCGGCCGCGGGTGCGAATTTTTCATCGTTGAAATCTTCAGATGCCGATGCAGATGCGGATGTATGAAAAAAGAATCCAGAATGAATGTGGATCTTTGTGGATTTGGTGATATAATTATCATTAATTTAAGTAAAAAATAATAATTTTACATAATTTTATTCCAAAGGAGATGAAAAATATAATATTTATTAATACTCAAAGATTTAAAGATGTCGTGGGCCATCTTATATGCGAATAGAGCGAATAGAATTGATTTACGAACTATTTCATTCAAGTAGCCCGCTACTTGTATGAAATAGATCGTAAATCAATGCAAAGACGATAATTTTGTTTAGAAAAGGAGGTTTGAGTAGGGCCTGTTCCCGACGAACTTGTCGTGACCTGCAAAATATCCGAATCCGTAAAAACTCTGTGTAGATTGGATTAGGAATGATCCACGGTTACGGATGTAGCTACAGACGTCTGCGGCATCCCTAATATCGATATTGTTTTGACACCAAATGCATCAATACCTATCAGCCATTTAGTTTGTCGTAACTGCGAGACGCAAAACTTTCGTAGACTCACTCAGTCTTGTTCTTACTCAAATCTTCCAGAGTAGGTCCTGGTCTCGTTACAATTAGGCGATCTTGGTCTCCTAAAATGCAAGAACAAGACCAAGACGGATTTCGGGTAAAGCTTTGTGAATGCATTGTCATCTGCATACACAACAATATTCGAATGAAGCAGGTTATTAATGTCCAGCAGGAACACAATCATCGAGAATACCGACTTTTGGTAAAATGCTCGTCGATGGCTATATAAAGTCAACGAAAATCCAATTTACTCAGAAAGCAATACTGGAAGTTTGTTCGGTAAAAGGTTCTATCTCGGCGTTTGATGGATAAGGTACTATTCGTAACTTAGTGTGTTCTACAGATTTGCACAGTGTTAATTTTTAAATATGATTTCACTAATTCAGTTTTATCTAAGATTTTGTTTTAATAAATTAATTTTGATTGACGATCATATCCCTTGATATCACATTGTGATTTTTAGTATTGTGACATTGAATCTATAAATTTACTGGTATTGCATTCTATGCGTTATCAAAGGTTTTACTTACTCCACATATAGGTAATAAATTCATGCAATAATTGGCAATTTGATACCTTTTGATAACTTAAGCTCGCGGGTTATTCCCGGGGTTTCGCCGGGTTTCTCGATCGAAACAGTTTTACAAATCCCTATTGTAATACTGTGATCGATTGATCGAGAAACTTTTCAGATTCAGATTTAAGGAAAGATTAGATTAGAATGAGACATTTATATCAAGTACTTACTCCTAAAATCAAAATACTCTTCCATATTCGCCCTGTTTTCAGCCCAAAGCAGATAGGCGAAAGCTTCATCCACAATGTTCGCCGCGACGAATCCCTTTAAGCTCGGAAGACCGTTCTGCGTATACTCAGCCAGCTGGTTCGATAATTCGTAACTGGCCTAAAATCACACATACACAAAGGTTTATTATCACAATATAAGACACAATCTATGAAGATTTCGTTATAGTATTTGTGAAAGTAAATTTTACTTTATTGATAAAATAAGACAATCAAGTCAAGCATGAATAAAAAAGTCTACGACTCTAAAACGGCGTTCATTTGATTTGGCAACAAAAACGTGATAACACATCATCGTGATGGCTTACAAAGCTAATTACAGCAGACCTCGACATTCATACAAGCTTTATCAATGAAATGCTAAGCTCTTTACGTTCAAATTTCATCTCTGTGCTAAGTCCTTTCTGAATTTTCCACTTTAGAGACAGAAGAACTAATTTAATTTAAATTTACAATACCTTATCTACTTACATATAAAAATCATAAAAGTGGATAAATATTATTTGAACATACTTGTAACAATGTAAGCATTAGAATAAACATCTTAATAAAATTATCCACAAAGTACAACCCGAAAATTTTGGGAAAGCGCTGCCTGAGGCAAAAATGACAATTACTCCTAATAATACTCTCTCACCTACTGCTATAAAGTATAATTTGGATGGCTAACAAAATGCAGGCAAAATATTGTCTTTCCCGCCACTTAGTTTAACGTGATTCGGGCAGGAATCTTCGTGGCAAAAGGACACCAACAGAGTTATTTAATGTGTCATATTCAAGAGACGCCGCCGCGCCGCATTAGAAGTAGAATAATGCGCATCGATTACGAAAGGCTTTTATATTTGATATGAGTCATTGGTTTGTAGATTTTTCTGGATTGGATTGTTTCTTCCATCGAGAACATACTCGATGATTTCTTCTAGGTAACGATATTTGAAAAAAAAAAAAACAGCTTCAGGTGCATGTCGTATTACAATGAAAGATTTTTTTTTACCTAATGCAATCTTTTCCATAATTTATTTCGTACCGAATTAAGTATCAGATATATCTATGTAATTAGGTACATGCTGCAATTGAATAATGAGTATGTAGTGAAGTAGTTGAGTGTTTGTTCTTGTTCCTGGTTTACGTTTATGACGCTAAGAGCTCGCAGTAATGCCAGCTACCCTATGCATATTTTGGATTAATTTGTTCGGGATATGATATAACACACGAGTAAACCCTCTATATTTTCAATCAACGTCACGTAGTGTTATCAGGGTTGAATTTAAGTACACTTCCGAATTAAATGAATGTCAACAATTATTTGATTATGATCGTCGATAAAGTTACCAATTATTTACTTGAATTGGAAAGGGTTTAAGTTGTAAAAGTTGTGTATATAGGATCTCTAATAGATTCGTGACAATTACTATTGTATATGTATTTGCAGATATGATGTCATAGTGATTTCTTGTATAAATTAACTATACTAAGAGATTTTATCACAGCGAAAATTACAAAGTAGTTTGGTTGGGGCGCGCGGCGACCTTACATGCGCTCGAGGCAAAGTTGACCTTATGGAATGGCCTTTCTCCATGACATTTTGCTAAAGCACGAAATATGGCAAGGTTCTCTCTAAGTTTAACCAAGTGTAGTTGATTCTAAATCGGAATCGATGGAAATTTTTTTAGTATTTTTACTAAAACAATTTCCATTTTGATATAAGTGAAGGAATGTATTTTTATGATAACAAGTCACGGGACGAACAAGGCGTGGGTCTGATGGTAAGTCCTGTTCATGTAAATTGCAGTGCTTTAAATAGCTCAGAGCTTTAAATCGCACGATCTGAGGGGCACTACCAATGCGCCCGTCACCCTGAGACATAAGTTGACAAGTCCCATGTGCCTGTAATTTCACCCGCACCCTTAACCCTTCAAAACGGGAACCCAGTAATGCTCACATTACTACTTACCTGCAGAAATAGGTGGCAGTTGTATATATAATATTTCCCTGGATGAATTTCTTCACAAAGAGCTCTACTGCTACTAAATGTATGCAGTGAAGAGTCTTGAGTTATGTTATAATTCTGAGAAAATGTTTTACTCGTTTTTCATTTGCCAGAGTGGTATATGGTAGGTACATACATCCTAAATACAGCAATTCCAGTAATATGTGTCTCCTAATATGGTACTTTTCATTGCATTGAGATAATAAAGAAAAAATTTGAACTAGCAGATATAACTTACTTACAACTTATAATGATGTGTATGAACGAAAAACTAAATGTACATATTTAATCCAATTATAATTTTTATTTATGTGAAATGCAAAGATTGCGGATACTTGTGTAGGTTCGTTAAGATCGTAGTCCATGTCCAAACCGGCGGGAAATCGAGGATTTAGACATAAACGTCAGGCGTACTTTTGTCGCATTTTTTCCTATTTATTCCTTCGTTTGTTAAATTATTTGATATACCTGAATACCCGAAGCACAGTTTCTAATCTTATAATTCTCTTATGATTATGAAATACTTCTTACGGATTGTTTCTATTTGATATAATATAAAAATAATAATTTATGTGTTTTCAGAGTAGTTCAATAGAAATATATAAGTATATGCTTTCAGGAACTGTAGTGAAAGGGATTAATATAATCTGCAATATTTTAATGTAAAAAGGATTAAGTATGCACATTACTATCTATAAATGTTTAGTATCTATAACATGTGTATTCAAAACATGTCAGTGAACTTTGTTTTGTTTCAGAATGCATGGACTGTTTTGTATTAATGAAATAGAAGAGAAATCAGAAATAAAAATGAGAAACTTAAGTGATAAAAGTTGAAAGGAATCGAGCTAAACATTACTCGAGAGGAGGCGATGTGGCACCATGCCAGCTAAGGCCACTACAAACGTGCTGAAGTTGGCAACAGTCGTCACTTTGCAGCCGCATTTGCAGCTGAAAACGGCACCTGAGACAACAGATCGTACTACTACTTATAATATATAGATGTAAATAATAATATACCCACAAGGTGAAATTTAAATGTGTCGTAATGTTACTTGCATAAAACAATTAAAAAAATGTAAATTTATCTGACGGCGCATTTTAACGTTAGGTCCATGTTAATTATGTTTTAATTACGACTTACAAAAAGTCACCCTGTATGAATTCCTCTATTTTAGCTTTTAAGCCGTGAATAGGTACAGCAATGGTATAAGGCTTTTGTGCACCACATAAGTTGTTTTAGTAAGTTATATTTTAATATTTTAACATCTTTAGAAACTGCGTCAGTGCATTCATAGCCGTACGTAAGATAGCATTTAATGTCACCACCTCCAATATAATATGATTGCGATATACGGTTGAATTAAGTTTTTCTTAACAAAATGGCTTCCCTAGAAACTGGTTCAAACTTTTAACTGTTTATGAAGTCATCACCAATATCTAAAGCGCTGATTCATAATATAACCTTGTTATAATCCAAGTGATTAATAGAGATGTGGATGTCACCGGTATAGGTATATAGTATTGTGAGAATTGTGTATTGTGTGCTCTGACATCGGCGACTGGAAATGCTTACATTGCGTAAAAGGTATTGGTTATTACAGATGAATAAAAACGAGCAAAGACATGAAGAAAATATTTCACAAGTGTGTTCATCGTTTTTTTCTTTTTGAAAAATTATTTGTATAGCATAAAACACTTTATAGTGACTTTTGGCAGCCTTTCTTTTTATAACCACTACACGATGAAAAGCTGAGTCAAGTCCTCAGCGATATGGGGAATGATATTATCGCAATTAGAAAAGAACTTATTTTTGTAGAAAATGAAAGTGGTGGCATGGTTTTAATATAATATTAATAATGAATCTTAGATTCCCCATCACTATTTTTGCCAATATGCACATGCAGTTTTTAAATGTAATGAATCATCACACGAAACAGTTCTCCAATGAAAATATCGTCCATTCTTTCAATCTGTAATTGAAATAATTACATGTAAATAATACCGTAGACAACATTCATTACGGTACTAACACCGTAGCAGTGCTACTCGTGAGAACATTAGTCTAATGCCCCGCAGTGTTACGTGTCTAATCGTTTAAGTTGTTGACGAACGACACGACTAAAGATTCTGTTACATATATATTGTGAGTAGATAGTAAAGTCATTCTAGCTTTACATTCCTTCTTTCAAAGGCAAACAAAAACAATCTAGGTGGGCTGTAATTTATTATTCAACTTACTGAATCTCCTCGTCCACCGACCGGGGAATGTGCGCCCGACATACCGAGACTCGGACTTTGACGCCGACTGGAACTCATATTTACGCCGAAATTTGTGTACTACTACTCTAAATATAAAAATGTTCAAGAGATCGTACTAAACCTAAACCTTTAAATCCTTTAGTTCAGACCTGCGCAACATTTTATATATTAGTAAATCAATAAAATTTTTCAGTGTTTTACTAATGCTGAAAGTAGGTTATTGCAAATTAGTTAACATTCTTAAGCGTCACGAGTTTGCAATAACCTTGACTCCCATGTAATACACAACGTTTCTGTTTTTTACTATATGTAATAAGCCGCAATATCGCATATATGTAGATTACGGCGGCAAGAAGGAAAAAAACAAGATAACATAACAATGTTTTATGACAATTATTGTACGAAAACGGCGGTTCTTAGTAATTTCGTATACGCGTAAGGTTTCTATAAAATTACACAAAATTAAAAAGTTGTGGCTGAAACACACTGCGGCTTGCGATTTTGTTTTGTAAAATAAAATGTTAAAATACTTAAAATATGTGGTAAATAAACGAAATTTATTAATTTTGATCAATTTCACAAACCAAATTGGTTTACTACGTTCATTTTATTTTACGTAATTGAAATGCTTGTAATAAAATATTATAAATGTTGCTTTTTCATAACACTTGCTCGTAAGAAGTAGTAGTATAACGTGCTGGAAAACTAAGCGATATTTTTTATCATACGGCCATATTTTTATAATACAGCGCTAGATGCCATGCAATGCCATACTCTTATTTGCCATTGCATCATTAACCAACCAAACAGCGTACATAAATTTAAATTAAAGATTTTTTGTTTTATCA